CTATAACCCTCATATCCTGTCCTGAACCACACACATACATGTTGCTCATGAAGTCAGCAGAAACAACCCACACAGCCTCGGATGGAGAATGTAGATCAATTCTGAGTTCAGTGAGTTGTTTGACAAATGCTCAGCCTGAAAGCAGATTTCCCAGCTTGGGTAAACACTGTCCTTGCTGCCTGAGCCAGCACTGGCCAGTCTGGCATTGACCACGGTGATTGTAATTGTGTATTTATTATCTATACCCAGACAAGACTGTGAACTCCTAGCTTCAGCTGTTGGTATAGCACCTGGCACATGCTAAGTTTCAGTAAATTTTTCGAATGAATAAGCTAATTTCTTCTTCTTCTTTTTTTTTTTTGAATAAGCTAATTTCATCATTTTAGAAGTGTGTTGAGAGGCTCATATCTGCCAGCAGTCTTAGGGACATGCAAGGGGCTGGCACTGTGACACAGTGTGTTGGGCCATCAACTATGGTGTGGGTGACCCATATGGGCACCAGTTTAAGTCCTGGCTGCTCTACTTCCAATCCAACTCCTTGCTGTTGGTCAGGGAAGGTAGTGGAAAATGGCCCAAGCGCTTGGGCCCCTGTACCCATGTGAGAGACCTGGAAGAAGTTCCTGGCTTTGGATTGGCTCAGCTCCAGCAGTTGCAGCCATTTAGGGAGTGAACCAGCGGATGGAAGATTTCTCTGTCTCTCCCTCTCTCTGTCTGTGGCTGTGCCTCTCAAATATATAAAAAAAAAAAAAAAAGGAGAAGCAAGATTGTTCTGGGTGTGTACTGAGACGCATGCATTTATGTGTAGTGAAAAAGCTGGTCTTGCATGTGGGAAACTGATTTAATACCTAGAAAAACATATGTGCACATGCACACACAGACACACCCGCACACCCCTCCCCCAGACTCTTCCCAAGCCAGAAGCTAAAGTGTCTGAACTTTCACCATTAGAGAGTCACAATTTTGGACTGCACATGGCTCTCTCTCCATCAATCTGGGAATCATATGATTTTATTATCACATAAATTCCACATAAATTTCAAATCCCAATCCCTAGTACCTGAGATAATACCCTTAAGCTGTGCTCCTCCCAGCTCTGTTGAGAATCACAGAAGGTAAGCCCCCTGCTTACCTTCTGTAACTGTGAGTCTGTATGTTTCTGTGTGAGTGTGTGTGTGCACATCTGCTCCTAGTGGTCTTATGTATCAGACAGTGGTTTGTTTACTTGTCTTCTCACATGTACAGTTATATATCAAAATAGCTTTCCAATTATAATTGTATAATTGTATATATACACTCCAATATCTGCAAGGCATTAAAACATTAATTTGTATAATTGTGTAAATTTATAATGATACTAAAAATAAAAACAAAAATCTGGGGATAGGCCACGTGGCTTAACACGTTAGGCTGTATCCCATATCAAAGTGCCTAGACTGAGTCCTAGGTATGCTTCCATTCCACCTTCCTGTTAATGAGCTTGGGAAGGCCCCAGATTATTACTTAAGTACTTGAGTCCTTGTCACCCATGTGGGAGACCTGGATGGAGTTCCTGGCTGCTGGCCTAGGCCTGACCCAGCCATGGCTGTTGCAGGCATTTGTTATTCTGCCTTTCAAAAAAATACATATTTTTAAAACAGCACATTTAAGTTCTGTCAAACCATATACACAATATTTGCAAGCCATCTGGGGAGCGGACCAGTGCATGGAAGATCCATCTCTCTCTCTCCCTCCTCCCTCTCTTCCCTTCTCTCTTTCGCTCTCTCTTTCCTTTCCCTGTTACTTTTCTTTTCTTTTTTCTTTTTCTTTTTCTTTTTTTTTTTGACAGGCAGAGTGGACAGTGAGAGAGAGATACAGAGAGAAAGGTCTTCCTTTTCCATTGGTTCACCCTCCAATGGCTGCTGCGGCCGGCGTGCCTATCCGAAGGCAGGAGCCAGGTGCTTATCCTGGTCTCCCATGCGGTGCAGGGCCCAGGCACTTGGGCCATCCTCCACTGCACTTCTGGGCCATAGCAGAGAGCTGGCCTGGAAGGGGGGCAACCTGGACAGAATCTGGCGCCCCGACCGGGACTAGAACCCTGTGTGCCGGCGCCGCAAGGCGGAGGATTAGCCTACTGAGCCGCGGCACTGGCCTACTTTGCTTTTCAAATAGATAAATCTTTTTTAAAAAAAGAAAAAAAAAAAAACCCTTGAGCTGGCTCCGTGACTCACTTGGTTAATCCTCTGCCTGCGGTGCTGGCACCCCATATGGGCGCCGGGTTCTAGTCCTGGTTGCTCCTCTTCCAGTCCAGCTCTCTGCTGTGGCCCGGGAAGGCAGTGGAGGATGGCCCAAGTGTTTGGGCGCCTGCACCCTCATGGGAGACCAGGAAGAAGCACCTGGCTCCTGGCTTCGGGTCGGCACAGTGCTGGCCGTAGCGGCCATTTGGGAAGTGAACCAGCGGAAGGAAGACCTTTCTCTCTGTCTCTCTCTCTCACTGTCTATAACTCTACCTGTCAAATAAAAAAAAAAAAAAAAAAAAACCTTGATCACCATTAGATGATTTAGTGATCTACCTGGGTATATTGAAAGTGGTAGATGAAGGGGAAGAATCAATCATTTATTCTTTCCTCTGTAAAGTGTACCCTTGGGGACCACAGTTTAGGTAGGAGAGAAGCTAGTCGACACATAAGTGAAGAAGAAGTGACAGAATTAGGACGCACGCATGCATGAATGAATACACACACGCTGAGCATCAATAGCTGGTAACATCGCCAGAAGAAAAGCACCTAGACAACAGATGCCTTCTGCAGGAAGAGGGAAATCCCGATGCAACAAAATTCTAGGTCCAATAACCAAGGCAGGAAAGACACAGAGAACAGAAGAATGCATTAGGGGCCGGTGCTGTGGCTCAGTAGGTCAATCCTGTGCCTGCAGTGCTGGCATCCCATATGGGTGCCAGTTCTAGTTCTGGCTGCTCCACTTCTATCCAGCTCTCTGCTATGGCCTGGGAAAGCAGTGGAAGATGGCCCAAATCCTTGGGCCCCTGCACCCACATGGGAGACTGGAAGAAGCTCCTGGCTATGTATCGGCTCTGTTCTGGCTGTTGCGGCCATTTGGGGAATGAACCAGTGGAAGGAAGACCTTTCTATCTCTCCCACTCACTGTCTGTAACTCTCTCTCTCAAATAAATAAAATCTTTAAAAAAATAAAGACTACATTAAACCAATAAAGTGTCAATTTCCTATGACATTTAAAAGAACGAGATATTGGACACTGGATATGTGATAAAGTTATTTCTTTTTTAGGTGGAATATGTTTTTTTTAAAAGAACCTTTATTTTAAAATTATTTATTTATTTGAGAGGCAAAGACAAGAACAGAGGAGAGGGAGACTTCTACCTGCTGTTCACTTTCCCAATGCACACAATACCTGGGGCTGGGCCAGGCCAAAGCAAGGAGCCAGGAACTCAATCACAGTCTCCCACTTGGGTGGCAGGGACCCCGCCACCTGAACCATCTCTACTGCTTCCCAGGGTGAACATTAGCAGGAAGCTAGGACTGAGAGCAGAGCTGCTTCTCCACTACAGGATCCAGGTGCCCCAAGCAGCAATCTAACTGCGAGACCAAATTCCTGCCTCACACCTTTATGTTTTAGAAATGCATAGTTAATTATTTACAGAGGAAAAAAAGTCTGATACCTGGGACTTACTACCAAATGACTGCAGAGTCGGGGTAGGGGCAGTGGGTGGATGATACATAGAACAAGATGGTCTCGACTTGGTAATGCTGAAGCTGAGTAATCAGTAGCTAGGAGTTCATTATGCCATTTTGTCTACTTTTTGTATACTACACTTGAAATTTTCCATAGAAAAGATTTTTCTTTGAAATTACCAACAGCTTCCTGAATATTCTTGTATTCTTGTCCTACGGGATGGCCATCCCTCTCCACTCTGAGATCATCATCCCAGAGAGTCTTCAGAAATTACACATGCCCTGGGAAGAGGAACTTATTCATTTATTGACATCCCTTTGTAAATGTAGAAAATTGCTTCCTGGATCACACTTAACTCTGAAAATACAGAGTGCTTATTAGGAAAGGGAAAATAAAGCCTTGAGGATGGGGAAGAAGGGGCTGAGGGAGGTCAGAAAAAAGGGGAGGGAGAAATTGCGTCTACATTACAATTCTCCAAGAGCCTCCATTTGTTGGCATATATAGCTTCTTCATGCTGTTGTACTAAAAGAACTTTCACAGGGGGTGGGAAAAACACCTAAACCCCTGGCTTAATAGGTTACATTTCCAAAAAGGACATGCTTTTGTGTTGTCCAAGGCCAACATAAATATTTCTGGGAGAAGAAAAGGGGCTCATTTTCCACTGTTCAGTGAACCCAGGATGAGGCTGTGTGAGCAGGACGTGATGAGTTTTTGCTTGAACCTGAGAATACTGTAGACTTATACACAGGCCCACAAGAATGTGGAAAGCAGGAGAGAGGAAGTGTCACCGGTGCTCAAGAGTATGGCTTTGCATAGAAGATGCCTGGAAGAACCCCAAGACACTGGTGGCCCCCAGGGAGGGACACTGGGGCCCTTTGGGTTATGATGGGAGGAGAGGAAAGCCATGGCTGTGTATTGTTATAGCCAGGATATACTGTGCTCTGTGCCTTAAAATAGATGACGACATTGCGCAAATAGCCTTTTATTGACCTACGTGACTGTACTTTTTATCTTGGACTTACACAACAGAGGTCTGTTTATGGGTCTCCTTGGGGCCAGCAGCTGGGCACCCAACTGCTCTGCCTCTCTCAGCCTATTCTGTCTTCTCCCACCCAAGCACCCCAGAACCCTATCTTTAGAGTAGCAGGCAGCCACTACACCCGACACGAGCGGCATCCTGGTCATTCTGTAACCCTACAACGTGACACAGTGGTGAGCACAAGTCCACTTTCCCACGGAAGCGCCCCCAGTTGCGGAGCCATAGTCTCCGATGGCTTCTAAGTGTTCCCGCCCACTCTGGGTCACTGGCTTACCTGTCTTCTTACACATGTCCCTGTGTATCCAATGAGCGCTGTGCTCCATGTTTGGGCCTGTGTCTTTATAGACGTGATCTCTCACAGTCCATCCTACGGCCTCAAGGCTCTTGCCCCCGGTACCGAGCCCAGTACTGCTTTTGGCTCTTTCTTCTTTGTTTGCTTTGGCTACTATGTACACACACACAGAATCCACCAATTTTAAATGTACAGTCTGATGAGTCTTGGCAACCATACACAAGGTGTGACCACCACTGTGCTCGGGGTGCACACGGTCCCTTCACCTTGAACGATTCCCCCATCAGCCTTCGCCTGGCTTCAGCTGGCAAACCCTGGATTAAGCCTTGGGGCCGGCTCTCTCTGGGTGATCCGGGGAAGCCATGTTGCCTCTCTCCATATGCTTCTGCTGCCGTCAGTGGCTTGCGTCCAGGGCCTCTCAAGGCCTTTCAGAAAGGGCGGGAATCTCTCAGCGAGCGGACACAGCCTGTTCCTCGCCAGGCTTACTAACAAGACATAGCTGTATCCTGTTGGGATGGTTAGGAGAGATGTACCGCCACCCTTAAACGGCGGTCGGTAGTTTTGTGACAGTATAACACAGTCAGCGCAGTCAACCTCAGCTACTACACATTCACGCAGGCTGACTCCCACAACTCCCCTACGAGCATCCAGCGCGGCTCTCCTGGTGCCCATCAACCTCAGGAAGCCCCAAAGCCCCGCGTTCGACGTACTGCGCCGCGCATGCGTCAGTCTCTAAAGCGCCCCGGTAGGGGGCAGAGTCGGGACCCGGACGTTCTAACGCCTGTCACACAAAACGACGTAACGCGGATCTGCTTTACGGCACCTCGCTTCCGCCGTAAAGCGGCGCCAGCGAGCCCACGTGCGAGTGTTGACGTGAATACTTCCGGGTAGTAAAAAACCCGCAACGCTTAGAGGCGGGAGAAAGTCTTTAGCCATGGGTAAACGCGGGAGCCGGAGCCAGACCCAGCTGCTCAACACCTTGACTAAAAAGCAGAAGAAGCACCTTCGGGATTTCGGCGAGGAGCACCCCTTCTATGACAGGTCCGGGTGGGCGTGCCTGGCGCCGGCGGTGCGGGTGTGTTTTACTCGCGGGAGCTGCAGCTTCCTGGGCTTGGTCCGCTGGTCTCGCAAGGCACTGAGCGTAGCGCCCGTGTCTCAGCCCACGCTTCCCCAGGCCCCGCCGTGCTGGGGTCGGGCTCCGCGGAGGCTGGACTGACTGGGTTCTCAGGGCTTCGGGCGTTCTTACTGTGCGCAGCTTCAGCCTAGACGACACGCCCATGGCGTGCGGGCAGGTGTCAGTGGTCATCAGTCTCCCTAGGGTGGTTTGGGGTGATTTGTTTTTGCGTGTGGCTCTGAAGTGTTTACAAACGCCCCGGTAGAGTCGTCCGGAATCAGGGGTGATCTTAGTGCCCACCCCAAAGCTTTGGGCTGCGTTATTTGCCCGGTGAGGGCCGTTGTAATGCAGAAAAAGGGAACCCGCGGTCTTTTACTTGCTAAGTTGTGTCTTTCTGGATGAGAGCCAGGTGGTGTGTGACTAGTGTTTGTCGTGTGACCTCGGTAAACTTCTCACTTGTCTGTTACGGAACTGTATTCTTGCAAGTTCAAGTGCATATATAGTTTTTACAGGGCTGTAGTTTTGATGTATTTATAACGGTATATTCTGGTCTTTTCGTTTAAAGTTGTATCATTAGATTTTTTTTTTTCCTGATTGGTACAAACTAGTAATTAGTTTAACATTTTCTGTTCTCTTCAGGGTTTCCGGAAAAGAAGAAAAACCACAGATTTGTCAACTGGTAATGCCTAGTGCCTTCTTTACAATAGTTGAGGATTATCTAGGTTGAATATTCCTTTACCCAGAATGCTTGGGGCCAGAAGGGTTTCAGAGTTGAAATTTTTTGGATTTTCAGAGTTTTTAGAATTTGGAATAATGACCTTCAGCAGGATCTTAGGAAATGCGTTTTATCAAAAAATGATGCATGGGCCGGCGCCGCGGCTCACTAGGCTAATCCTCCGCCTTGCAGCGCCGGCACACCGGGTTCTAGTCCCGGTCGGGGCGCCGGATTCTGTCCCGGTTGCCCCTCTTCCAGGACAGCTCTCTGCTGTGGCCAGGGAGTGCAGTGGAGGATGGCCCAAGTGCTTGGGCCCTGCACCCCACAGGAGACCAGGATAAGTACCTGGCTCCTGCCTCGGATCAGCGCGGTGCGCCGGCTGCATCACGCCGGCCGCATCACGCCGGCCCCATCACGCCGGCCGCGGCGGCCATTGGAGGGTGAACCAACGGCAAAAGGAAGACCTTTCTCTCTGTCTCTCTCTCTCACTGTCCACTCTGCCTGTCAAAAAAAAAAAAAAAAATTCATGGATTTCAAAAAAATTTTCAACCAAAATAAACTCTACTGTCAGCAGGATTTAGTTTGGGACACTAGGAAGGATAAGGCGACTATTTGAAAAGACCCCCTATCAGGGCAACATGAATTCTGCTAAAATTAAAGCCAGAACATCAAGTTTATGTTGAAGCTTGGGTAGAAGAATGGTGATGACTCAAGTAACTGGGCTCCTGCTACCTTCTACCCCCACCCCCCCAGGGGAAATTTTAATTGAGTTCCCAGCTCCTGGCTTCTGCCTGATCCAGCCCCAGCCATTGTAGGCATTTGGAGAGTGGACCAGAGAAAGGGAGCTGGCTCACTGTTTCTCTTTCTCTCTCTCCCTCTCTTCCTTCTCAGAGAATTAATTTAAAAGTTACTTTTAAGTTTTAGATTTTGGAGCATCTTGAATTTCTGAATTACAGATACCCAACCTGGTTATAGTAATAAAGCTTGATTACGTTTCTGCGCTTTCAGTTCAGTTCTGAGCTGTTATTTGGGTAACGTTGCCTAGCTTTAAATGTAGGTATCTGTTTAAAAAATGCATTATGACTGATGACTTAGAAGCCGTTGTTTGAAACTGCCCTGAGACCAGCCTGCCTGAGCTCTTAGTAGTTCTTTTTTGCTTAACAAAGAGTCAGAGAGCGAGTAGGAAACAAGCAAAGGTCCTTCCACCTTACAGCCAACACAAAGAGGCTACGTTCATTAGTTGCTTCCCAGCTTTCTTGTTGCTCCTTTAAACGAGTACCCTGATATCTGTGATGTAAGTTAAATGCCATTGTAACCTAAAGTCCACCGTTTTAAAAGTCAGTTTCTTTACATGTGGGGTATCAATTCAGAGGACATAAAGGGGTTCTGGAGTCGTAGCTAAATGAGGTATTTTAAGTAAATTTGGTGCGGGGCTTGGTTGAATGGATGAGATTACATAATATTTGCAGAAAAGTTAATTTTTATTTAGCAAAGTCTGAACCTGTGGGCTTGATAATAGTCTGAGGATAGCAATAAACATAACATAGTTCTTGTTTTTAATGCCCTGTTTTTCTTCCAGTCTGAGAGTTCAGATACTTCGGATTCTGAAAGTGAAGCAGATAGTGAGCCTGAGCACGTCTCTGGGTACCACAAACTGCTTGCTACGCTGAAGAACGTTTCTGAGGAAGAAGACGAGGAGGAGGAGGAGGAGGAGGAAGAGGATGAAGGCAGTGCTGTGGATGATGCAGAAATGAGTGATGAAGGTGATGGTAGTGACGCCAGTGTGGAGGAGGAGATTATCTCAGAGTCTCTGGGGGTGCAGGAGGGTGAGTGTATTTGATGGTGGCCCCTCAGAGTGCCCCCTGGGCACCAAGCCCCATACTGTGTGAACTGGGTGAAATCCAAAGTAGAGATTTAATGTTAAGTTTGATCATGTCTTTGAGGCTCTCATGGAAACACAGAACCCTCTTGCTGGGATAATGCAGCAAGAATGTTTTTGCTTACGATTTCAGGGACTTCATCAGTGCTAGTGAGAGACTTCCTGATACAGAGCAAGAGTGTAGTTCTTCTTTGTGACTGTTTCAGTTTACAGAAGATCTTACTGCTCCTCCCTTAGGTATACCAGGTTTGGTGCAAGATAAACATAAAAATATTAAACAGTTTTCAAGCAGTGGATTGATAATTGCATGGATATATATACATATACACGTAATAGACATAAAGCTATGTGTTAAAGAGTTACTGAGTGGTCACAAGCTACCAGTGAAAATTAGGGAAATATTTAGGGGAAAAACTGAATTGAAAACCCAAAGGAATTCTGTCCCACTTCTGGGTGACTTCTTTTGTTTAAATTTAAAATTAACTTCATTGAGGTATGATTTATATACAATTAAATATACCCAATTTAAGTATACAACTTGCAGAGTTCTGATAAAGGTATATACCCATGTTATTACCTACAAAATTAAGACACGGAACATTTCCGTTACCTCTCAAAACTTCAACCCTGGCCTCTTTCTGCCATCATAGATTAGTTTTAGGTGTCCTAGAAATTCATATAAATGAGACTATCCATATGAACGCTTTACCATCTGGCTTCTTTTGCTCCTCTGGTTTTGTGATCCATCTATGTTGTTCATGTTGTAGCTTATCACTTTTTATTGTGGAGTAGTTTTCCACTGTCAATATATCTGGGTGACTTTTTACATCTCACTATACTACTTCTCTTTGTCTTAAATCCTTGTTTTTTTCCTATATTTTAAGGTGTTAGGTACCATTCTTAGTATTTTAACTGATCCACTATAGTGGGATAGGAGTTATTGCCCTGGATTTAGGATTTTTTTTTTTTTTTTGCTTGCTTGCTTTTGTATTCTTAACAATGAAAATATTTATTTTATTGTGAAGCAATAAATATTGCCTGTAAAAATTTTAGAGGGCAATACAGTTAACCTATATCCTCACCACCCAGAGATAACACCTGTAACATTGTGTGTAACCTTTCAGACTGCGGTTTTCTGGACATATGTGTGTAAGTGTAAGTATGTACATAGAGTAGTGTGTATGTGCATGATGGTCTGCCTGTGTAACTTACGGGTTTTCTTTAATAGTATACTGTGAACCTTCTTCCATGTCTGTAAATGTGTGGATTCACTTTTGCTTCTTAATTACACAGTATTCAGTTGTAAATAATATGTGGTGGTCTAATTAGTACCCCATTGATAGATAGTTCACATTTTTTCAGTTATTTCTTACCACTGTCATTGGTGCATTGACCAGCCTTTTGTTCACGTGCATCTTGGTTTACGTTGTCTAGTTACCATTTTAAAGTAAGTCCCTGGAACTGAGTGTATTAGTGAGCTCCAGAGAAGCAGGGTAACGGGATATAGAGAAAGAGGCCTATTTTAGGGAATTGGGTGGTGTAATTGTGGAGGCTTGGCAAGTCCAATATGAGGGAGGCTGGCAGGCTGGAAACTCAGGAGTTGCAGTTCAGGTCTAAAGGCAGTCGTGTGAGAGACCCAGAAGAGCCAGAGTTGCAGCTGAAGTTCAAAGGCAGACTGCCCCAAAAATTCCCTCATAGGGAAGGTCGGCCTTTTCTTCTGGTCAGGCCTTCAGCTAGTTACATGATGTACACTCACACTATAGGAAATAATCTGCTTTGCTTAGAGCCTGCTAATTGAAATGTAAATCCCATCTAAACCATTGTCACAGAAACATCCAGACAATATTCTGCTGAATATCTGGGCAGCCAGATTGACACATGAAAGTAACCATCACACTGGATCAGTGAACTCTATATCTTCCACTTGAAGTATTATTATTTAAAAGGAAATAATAGCAACAAATATGAATGAATATTAATGCTGATATAGACTAAGGATTTCAATTTTGTCTGTAGAAGTACAATTACAAAATGTTTCTAAATTGCAGATGTGGCCTTATCTGCTGACCCTAAGGAGAAAGGTGGGGAAGGAGCACAGGGCACATCCCAGGAATCCCCAGAGGAATTCACAGATGCAAAACATGAGTCACTGTTCAGCCTGGAAACCAATTTCCTCGAAGACCTTGGGAGCAGGGACAACTCTCTTCTGAAAGTATCACAAGGTCAGAGCACAGTGTGTGTTTGAATTTGCCAGGTGTTTGGTAGGTAGACGTTAAGCCTCCTGTCACTGCAACAAGCGGCAATAAAAACAGAGGGTTTAGTGGCTAGCTGGAACCAGAGCTAGAGAAAAATGCTTTCACAGATATGTTTTGTTTTTCACTAGTTAGCAAGTGTTGGCTGGGAATAGAGGGGGATGTTTAGGAGGAGAGCAAGCTGCTTAATATTAGTAGTAGGAGGGCCAGCATTGTGGCACAGTGGGTTAAGCTGCCATTCCCATATTGGAGTGCCAGTTTGAGCCCCAGCTGCTTGGCTTCTGATCTGGCTGCCTGCTAATGCTCCTGTGAAGGCAACAGAAGATGGCCCAAGTGTGTGGGCCCCTGCCACCTACGTGGGAGACCAGGATGGAGCTCCTGCTGAATCATCTGGCTGTTGTGGCCATGTGGGGAGTGAACCAGCAGATGGAATGTCTCTCTGTCTCTCCATGTCTTGTTGTGCCTTTCAAATAAATAAGCAAATCTCTAAACAAATAAACAAAAATTGTTGGTGGATAAGACGTATTCCCCAGGCCTCCCATCTCTATAGCTGGAGTCCAAGGAAGACTTCTGATCACCTCCCCAAGCAGGAAAGAAAGAGAAAGAAGAGAAAATTCTTCACATGTTTTTCTCTGCCCTTCACTTGCTTCTCATGTTTGAAGGAGTAGATTTGCAGATTTGTGAGACCCAGGAATAGCTAACCTGAGTGGTCTTTATTACCAGAGAGAGCCTCGAAGGCCACAAAGCTCTACCCGATCTCCCCTGTCTCTGAGTCTCTTGACCGTGCCCGTAACCAAGTGGCAATCTCTTGGTCAAGATGTGCTAAAGGCAGACTTATCCAGGTCTCTGCTGTCTATTGTAGGTTCTCAGCCTGAGCCTGGATGGGTGAGTCCTGTGATCTTGTTCTGTGTCCTGCCTACCTGCATTGCTCCCAGTACCATTCTTCATCTCAGCTTTACCTTCGATGAAGCTGAAGTTGTAATCCTCATTTGGCTGGAGAGGGAGAAGCAGATGATAGAAATTGTAAAATTTTAGCACAGACCCCATTCTGAGCTTCAAAACTTAGAAAATCTGGAGGAAACATTAGGAAACTTGCCTAGACTAAAATTTCTCTGGCTGATTGGCCTGGGCAGGTAAATTAGCACCTAGAGTTTTTACGTCCTATTGCTTACTTTCTCTCTCTCAGGTACTTAGTACAAGGTATATTTCATTTGAGGTTTGACTGTTTAGGTCCCTGGATGGGTCATTTAACTTTGCTCTGTTTCTTAATGAAGGGGACTGGGAATGATTGCATGGCTAGCTCAGAGAACTAGAAGTTACCTGGAGTGCAGGTCATTTGTTCAAGTCAGTGTATAGTGAGCATTCCTGTGTCCTGCATAGTAGTCAGTCAGGTATGGAATCTGCCGTTAGTGATCTTGTCTACTCGATTAGATAAGATAGGCACACATGAGAATAGTTCAAAGAGTTTGTGGAAGATTGAATTAGAGCTTAAATTTAGGGGGCAGGCATGTGGCCTACCAGTTAAAATATCCATGTCCCATAGGAGTATCTGGGTTCCAGTTTTAGCTCTGTTCCAGTTCTGCATTCTTGCTAATGTGCATTTTAGGAGGGAGGACGTGATGGTTCAAGTGGTTGAGTTCCTGGCTCCCAGCTTGACCCGACTCAGTGCTGGCTGTTGTGGGCATTTGAGGAATAAACCAGTGAATGGAAGCTCTTTGTCTGCCTGTGTCTCTCTGTCTCCCAAATAACTTGTAGAAAGAAAAATATAAAATGATTTTGGTGCAAAAATTTTTTTAAAGATTTATGTATTTACTTGAAAGGCAGAGTTGCAGAGAGAGAGGTCTTCCATCCACTGGTTCACTCCCCAAATGGCGACAACAGCCAGGATGGGGCCAGGAGCTTCTTCTGGGAATCACATGAGTTGCAGGGGTCCAAGCACTTGGGCCATCCTCCAAGGCACATCAGCTTTCCCAGGCACATCAGCAGGGAGCTGGATTGGAAGTGGAGCAGCCACGACTTGAACTGGCACCTATGTGGGATGCCAGCACTGTAAGCCATGACTTTAATCTGCTGAGGCACAGTGCCAGCCCCTGAAAAATATCAAATCCATGCATAAGCTCATGGAAAAATATATATTATTAAAAACTGCACAATTTCAATTCTTGTACAAAAATAAACCCAACCTTTAATTCAATTTTCCAGAAACTTTTTGAGGTACTTTATGTGTTGGGATGGATGAGGTAGGATAGGAGGCTGAGAGGACAGAGTGATGACTGTCTTTAGGAGACCGGGAATGGCCTCTTGTTAGAGCCAACACTGCCTGGCAGAGAGGCTCCTGGGAAATACTTCTTTTCTAAAGATTTATTCATTTGAAAGGCAGAGTAACAGAGAGGGAGACATGGATAGAGAGATCTTCCTTCCACTGGTTCATTCCCTAAATGGCCACAATGGCCGAGGCTGGGCCAGGCTGAAGCCCGGAGCCTGGAACTCCATCTGGGTCTCCCACATGGGTGGCAGGGGTCCATGCACTTGAGCCATCTTTCTCTATTCTCCCAGATGCATTAACAAGGAGCTGGATCAGAAACAGAGCAACAGGACACAAACTTGAGCTATGGTATGAGATACTGGCTTTGCAGCGGCTTAACCCTCTGTGCTACAACACTGGCCCCTCCTGGGAAATACTTTTTGTGAGTCAAAGGGTGATGTTAAACTGAGGCTAATTGGATATGCACAACTGAGGTAAAGGAGAATCTGGAATTTGTAGTTTTAGGAAGGACTGGCACAGAGTCATAAGGATTTAAGGGCCACATTGTTCCAAAATTATACTGGAGAGGCCGGTTGGAGTTGCATTGTAGAATACTCTGAATTTCAGTCTGAGAAGTTTCTTCAAAGGTTTTTGTGCTTGTAAGTAATGTGAGTACAGAAATACTTTAGGAAGAAGATCCTGTCTGAAGTTTTTAAGCTCTGGACTGGGATAGAGGATAGGGAAGGGACATGGGAAGAAGGATGAGTTAGCACCATGAAGATCAGCATATAGTTCACAGGGGAAGAATGGGCTCTGCCTGCTTTGCACTGTGTGCTAACATTTTTTTTATTTCTAAATTAGATCCATTCCTACAGCATGTGAATAAAGAACTGAAAGAAAAGGAAATTCACGCTGTTGCCACAAATCCCAAAACTACCCAGGAGCTGGAAGTAAGTGTTGCCTGGTCATCCTAGTAATGAATGGAAAAAGCTATAACTAATACTGTGGCCTTGGGTTTTATAGCTCCCAGAACGCATGGTGTACACCAGTGGAGGTGGCCCGGTAGATACGTGGGACATAGGAAGAGCCTGGTGGGGCGTGGGTAATGCTGGAGAAAGCATAAGAATCCCTTTGAGATAGGTACACCAGGGTCTAGACCGACCTCTGCAAGGGGCTGTCACATGACAAATTGATCCATCTCTGCTCTTCGCTTTTCTCACCTGTTAGAGGAGGCAGTAATGCTGCCTCAAAATAAAGGAATCTAGTTTACTAACGATAAATAATGTGCGGGTACATCAAAAAGTTCATGGAAAAATAGAATGAAAGTAGTTTATTTTAGTGCAAAAAATTTTTTAGAATTCACACATAGTTTCTAGTTTCTTTATTATATGTGTTTTCCATGAACTTTTTAAAGTTCCCTCGTAGGTGTTCCTCCTGTTCTTCATTTGTTTGAAATGTCTGAGGTAGGTTCACAGCTAAATTATTCAGCTACAGCTATTAAGCTTTTTTTTTGGAAAGACAGAGTTACAGAGAGAGGTAGAGAGAGAGAGAGAGAAAGGTGTCTTCCATCTGCTGGTTCACTCCCCAAATGGCCACAATAGTTGGAGCTGAGCCAATCCAAAGTCAGGAGCTTCTTTCGGGTCTCCCACATGGGTACAGGGCCCAAAGACTTGTGCCGTCCTCTGCTGCTTTCCCAGGCACATTAGCAGGGAGCTGGATTGGAAGTGGAGCGGCCGGGACTTGAACCAGCACCCATATGGGATGCTGGCACTGCAGGCTGGGGCTTTAACCCACTGTGCCACAGCACTAGCCCCTGAGTAAATTTTTGTTTCTTTATTTTCAGTGCTGATGCTATTCATGAGAGTTGGTCATCTTTTTTTAGAATTTTTGTTGGGGTAATAATTAGTGATACATGTGGAGTTGTAAGATATAGAGAAATCCTAAAATATTAGTGTATGTGGCATTTCAACCAGGAAACTGACGTTAATAACATCTGCCTGGGCCCAGCATTATCACACAACAGGTTAAGCTGCTGCTTGCAACGTGAGCATCTCATATTGGAGTGCTGGTTAGAGTCCTGATCCTCTGCTTCTAATCCAGCTCCCTGCTAATGTGCCTGGAAAGGAAGTGGAAGATGGCCTAAGTGCTTGGGACCTTGCCACCCGTGTGAGATACCCGCATGGAATTTCTGGCTTCTGGCTTCAACCTGACCCAGACCCTGCTGTTGCTGCTATTTGGGGAAGTGAACCAGTAGTTAGAAGGTATCTCTCTCTCTCTTTCTGTGCTTCTTCATCTATCTGTCACTATGCCTTTCAGGTAAATTCTTAAAAAAAAAAAAAAAAAAAACTACCCTCAGATTTCTCATCAGTTTTACTCATTCGACTCTGTGTGTGTGTATACTCATAATTGCAATTTTTAAAAATATTTATTCAAGAGGTAGAGAAACAGAGTTCCTATCTATTGGTTCACTCCCTAAATGCCCATAAGTGGCCAGGTCCTGGCCCATGACCAAAACTAGAAGCTGGGAACTCAATGCAAGGCTCCCACACAGGTAGCAGAGCACCAACTACTGAGCTGCCACCTACTGCCTGCCAAGGTCTGCACAGGTAGGAAGCTGGAATTGGAAGCTAGCGCTTGGAGCTCTGGTATGGTTTGGTCAGATGTGTAGCTCCCTGTCTCTGCCACCACTACCCATCAAGGTGTGAAACATGTCCAGCACCAGATAGGCAAGTCCCTGCGCCCTTCTACAGCCACAGTCGCTTCCTTCTATGCTCCCCCACCTCATTCATAACTCCTAGAAACCACTAATGTCTCCATTTCTATAGTTTTATCATTTCAAAATATTAAATGAAATTTTACAGTATATAATCTTTTGAGATTGACTTTTTTTCATATAGCATAATTGCTTGGGGATTTATTCATATAGTTTTACCAATGACTAGTTTGTTTTTCTGTACTTGCTGAGGTCATCCTATTTTGAGATTAGCAAATTTTGCTACAATGCAAAAATTCCCAAACTCATTTCCCACCAAATATTCTCTAGGATTCTAAAAATAAAAATTTTTTCTCATGTTCAAATAAATTTGGAAAACTCTGGGTTCAACAAAGTGGACAGAGTTCTTATGGGACTTGCCAGAATTATTAGTGTACAGTATACATTGTGAACCCAGAGTTATCTGAGTGTGGAGTTCCTTTTTTTCTAGAAAGAATTTTTACTCTTCCTCAGATTATATTTTGCAAAACATCTTGGGGAGCACCAATGGAGCAAAGAGCTTATATTTGAAGTCAGAAACCATGAATTCTTTAGATTCTTGCCCTCGACTCCATTCCCTCCTGTGTGAACTGTTTTTTGAAAATTGTTTATTTGAAAGGCAAAGAGACAGCACTCCAATCCACTGGTCTGCTCCCCAAATGCCTGCAATAGCCTAGCTGGGCCAAGGTCAAAGCTGAGATCCAGGAACTCTATCTATGTCTCACGGGGGTGGTAGGAACTCAGTTACTTGAACCATCACTGCTCTCTCTCAGGGTCTGCAATAGCAGGAAGCCTGACCAGGTACTCCTTTATGGGGTACAGATGTCTTAACCAGTATCTTAACTGGAAGGCTAGTTACCTGCCCCTATGTAAACTTTGTCTGGATCATACAAGTTTGTGAGAACCTCAGCTTTTCCTGAACTATATTGCGAGTATTATGGTATCCACTTTGCAGGGTTGTAAGGGTTGAGTGAGATATGTATAAATCATGAAAGTTCTTGATAAGGTATGTGAGTTTAAGGTCTTGTAATTCATTTCTAACTTAGCTCTTGGTGTCTCTCTTTCTTTCTCTCCCTCCTAGTGGCCAAACCTGGGCCAGCTTGTCTTTTCATCCAAGTTTCAGAAGTTGGAAACATTTAAACCCCCAAAGGATATTGACCTAAAGTCACTGCATCTCCAGAAGCCCCTGGAATCCACCTGGCCCAAGACCAACAGCCAGTTCCTAACTGGCCCCCAAAAATCAAGTAGCGTCTTCACCCCCCTCCAGAAAGAGCTCTTCTTAATTATGAATTCTTACCGGGACCTGTTCTACCCAGAAAGGTCTGCCTTGAAGAATGGAGAGGAGATCCGCCACGTGTACTGCCTGCACGTGCTGAATCACGTCCTCAAAGCCAACGCCCAGGTGCTTGGCAACAACAGCAGACGCCGAAGCCAGAAATTTGGGGTGGGTGATGACGATGACTTCAGGGACCAGGGGCTAACGAGGCCCAAGGTGAGTGGCAGCAGGAAAGCTGCTCCTGCAGGAAAGGGGTTGCAAGGCCCTGCTGTGTAGGTGCCTGGCACTAAGCAGGTGCTCCAGTGTTTTACGAATTGACTGGAATGATGAACCCAGATGTGAGTACTTTGGAGTGGGCCAAGTTACTGTCAGAACAGTGCAGCAGACTGCCCAGTGGGCTGTTTCTGACAGTGGAGCTAGCTGGACACTTGAGAAAAGTAGTTCGTGCTCTCCTAAAAGGTAAACACAGATAGGTGGCAGCTGTCTGCTGTAAATCTCTTCTTTGCGGTTGTAGTGTTGAATGGGACCGTAATGAGCTCTTTATCCCTGTGTATCACAGCTATGAGTAGAGACCCAAATTCAAAGACAACCTTGCTAAAGAGAACCAAAAAGTAGCAGAGAAGGGACCAGAACTGAGAATTTTCTTTGCTGAGACATGAAAATAGCAGTCCCTGTTTGCCACTCTGTTGCTGTTTAAGTAGGGATTACACAAGTTGAAACTCCAGTGGATTTAAGTCTTTAATAGGAAAGAAAATGACTTTTGTTCTGTCTACATTTTGTATAACCTTGCAGAGCTAGGTCTTGTCATTCCAGTCTCCTTCAGCTTGTGTCTTTCCATGAAGTCTTTTTTTTTTTTTTTGACAGAGTGGACAGTGAGAGAGAGAGAGACAGAGAGAAAGGTCTTCCTTTGCCGTTGGTTCACCCTCCAATGGCCGCTGCGGCTGGTGCCCTGCGGCTGGCGCACCGCGCTGATCCGATGGCAGGAGCCAGGTACTTATCCTGGTCTCCCATGGGATGCAGGGCCCAAGTACTTGGGCCATCCTCCATTGCACTCCCTGGCCACAGCAGAGAGCTGGCCTGGAAGAGGGGCAACCGGGACAGAATCCGGCGCCCCGACCGGGTCTAGAACCCGGTGTGTCGGCGCCTCAAGGCGGAGGATTAGCCTAGTGAGGTGTGGCACCAGCTTCCAAGAAGTCTTATATTTGTAGATTCTTCATTCAAATTTAATAGAATTCTAGAATTTTTATACTGAAGTGGCTGTTAAGAGATTTGTTCTTCCATTGTGTGATAGCTGTGGAAACCAAGGCCCAGACACTTCTTTAGTGTCTCAGCTGGGACAGTAACTCTGTCTTTTAAATCTCTGTCTGCTGTCCCCATTATTTCAGGCTGAGTTTCTGCTCCAGTAAATGCTTATTGCCTTTCTGGGGAGCTGCCTCAGAGTCTTGAACTTCAGTATCACACGTTTGTTTCCACTTAGAATTGTGTAGAGAACTAAACAGATTACCTATGAAGCACATTTTAGTTTGGTGAATTGCATGATTTGACAGGGCTTGTGTCCACTGATTATGTTATTTACGAGAGAGTGGTTGAAATGAACCATTTATCAAGCATCTTCTGTTTTTGTTCTCAACGGTCATTTTTAAGCATTTTTGGAAATGCTTGGAAGACCGAGTCCTGTTTTTCCTGTTGATTATGATTTTATTTCAGAAATGCCTTACTGTTGTTTCTGAAAAATGCATTGGGGAATGTAGTAGGAAAATAGCACCGTGTTCATCCTTTTTCTTACCTGTTTTATTTCTCATTTATTCCATTTATTTACTGAGCATATACTTACTCCAGTGGGTCTTGTGGGTAAGAATATTGTGCAAAGTTCTGTGGGAGACAAACAAGTTAGCACTCCTTGCCCTCAAAGAGTTTGTGTGTTTACATTCTTGAGATTTTGCTGTCAGACTTGTCTGTTCTAGGCTTTTGCTTATCCTAAAGGCATTTCCATATTCTACTTGAGAAATTTTTCCCACCGAGCTGTGGGGCCAGAGTGCTCAGGACGTGGTTCTGTGGAGACAGAAGTTGCTCAGCTTCTAGTGGCAAGCTAGTAGCAAGCCTTGTACGAAGAGGGTGACGCAAATAGGGTCACTGGCCAGGGGCTCCTGCTGAACCCAGGGCTTTTGAGCTCCACTCACCCAGCAGGCCACCCCAAGCTGCCGTTCTTGTCCCGCGCCCCTGTCAAGGTTGCTGTTGCTCCCTCCCCAGGTACTGATAGTGGTGCCCTTCCGGGAAGCTGCCTTGAGGATCGTGCAGCTCTTCATCAGCCTCCTCGAGGGGGACAGCAAGAAGAAGATGATTGTGAGCAACAAAAAGAGATTTCAGGGAGAATACGGGTCCGATCCTGAGGAGAGACCACCTAACCTGAAGAGGCCTGAGGACTATGAAGCCGTGTTTGTGGGCAACATCGATGACCACTTCCGGATTGGTAATTTCTGCTTGTCAGGACCGGGGTCCTGTGGGACCTGTGGTGTGAGAGTGTATGTGGCTGGAGACTGGGAGCCTAGAATTAGGTGTTCTCTCAGCGGATCACTGGCTCAGCCTCCCAGCAACCCATGCTCATCCGAGACATCTTGTTTGCCCTTGGCTGGAGGGGCGGAGAGAGTCTCAGGCCCTAAACAGCAGGTGCATGTGCGTCTATAACAAATGCCTGGCACACCCAAAGATGGCACACGGTATATGGTCAGATGCCACAAGGGGTTCTCAAGGGAATTGAAAGTGACAGACTGGGTGGCCTCATCCTGTGAAGCCTGAGTAAACAGAGTATCTGTGCCAAAGGTGGGCTTTCCCCTTGTCTGCCACAGTGAGTGACCATCTCTGAGTTGCCTCCACGTAGGACTTAGCAACACCCACTGCACCCAATTTGTCACACTTTTACCTGTCTCATTCAGGTTGGTTGGGTTGGTTGTACCTTGGTGCAGTAAAGTTCTTGGGAAAATGTTCGTTAGTCACATGTGTTCATTCACAAATCTTCATCAAGTATCTATAGTGAGTCAGGGCTAGTGAGAAGCTAGAGATGCAGAAATCAAAGTTGTGATTCCCATTGCTTAAGGGAGCCCCGTCTTAGACAACACAGGGTGCTGAGGGTGCAGCAAGTGTTCTGGAGCCTTTAAGCCAACCCCTGACCCAGAATGGCAAGTGGTTAGGGAGGGCGTCCTGGCAGAGGTGCCATCTGTACTAGATTGTACTTGAGATGTGGCCTGGAAATAGAAATGTACTAAAAGCTTTATGTAGGAGAGAACTGACAGGTGAATCCAGGAGTATGTAGAAGAGGTATTTGGATTCAGAAAGATATACGAGGGCTGGGTCAGTGAAAGAAGCAGAAGTGAGTATTGAAGTGATAGAAACTATCACAAGGAGAAGAGCATTTCTCAGAGGGCATTTTTTTTTAAAGATTTATTTATTTATTTGAAAGTCAGAGTTACACAGAGGAGAGGCAGAGAGAGGTCCATCCGCTGGTTCACTCCTCAATTGGCCGCAATAGCCAGAGCTGTGCTGATCCGGAGACAGGAGCTTCTTCCAGATCTCCCACGCGGGTGCAGGGGCCCAAGGACTTGGGCCATCTTCTACTGCTTTCCCAGGCAGAGGGCATGTTTAATATGCCACTGTGCATTCCTGACCCAGAGCCCTGAGAGGCGTCCGTTCAACTGGTAACGGCTGTTGGGGCCTTAGCATAGATCATTTCAGTAGAGTCCTGAGAATCAGAGGCCAGATTGCAGTGGATTGACGAGACAGTTCTCTGGAGAAGTTTGACAGTGAAAGAAAGGAAGTGAAAACGGGAGCCAAGAAGTCCCTATATGTACAAAGAAGGGATCGTTATTATTAAATAATTAAGGCAGTCTAAGAGCACTTACATGCTAAGGGGAATGGAGAGAGATAGGGAAGGTATAGGGGAGGGTGGACACAGTGTCTTGGTAGTGACTGCTGAACTGATGGGTGCTTGGCTGTGTTGTGCAGGAGTGGCAATACTTCAACGAAGCATCCGGCTGTATGCCCCCTTTTACTCCTCGGACATCCTCATTGCTTCTCCTCTGGGCTTGAGGACCATCATCGGTGGAGAAGGAGAGAAGAAGAGAGATTTTGACTTTCTGTCTTCTGTTGAACTTCTCATCGTTGACCAAGCTGACATTTACCTGATGCAGAACTGGGAGCATGTCCTGGTAATGCTGCTCACTAACATTTATGTACTTAGACAGGAAGCTCAGTGGCTTAAGTCCTAAAAGGTTATTAAATCCAGATTAAAACTCAGTTTGGAAACAGGGAAATACTCTATATTTTCTAACTTGGAAAGTTTCTTGCCCCCTCCTCTACCCACAGATTAGTTTGTAATTAAACTGTTCAGAGAGGTAAAAATTCTTTTCAGTATTTTCAAATCTGCAGAGAAGATTTTCTTCTTCTCAAAGCTCTATTTCTACTAATATTTATAATGCACTTAACTGGTTGACAGGTTAGATGGATGGACAGTTGGAGAGACAAATGAATAGAAGTCTTCACCAGGAACATCTTTGACATAATTCCTCATACAATTCATTTTCATTCTCTTTTTGTTTGGTCTCTGGAGATGGGGGTGCATTACTTAGGAGCCCTAAGGGTCTTGGTTTTTGTTTTGCAGAGAGGTGTGTGTTCTCTTTATCTCCCTCCTGTGATGTGTGCTGTAGATTTTTCTTTTTCTGCACATACTCTGCAGCGTTATCAGGTTTAAGTTTGAATGACCGTGCTTTCTAATATCCTTATCACAGACTTATAGGCTGTGTTTTTTAAGGCGTATGAAAACTCACCTCTTCTACCTGAGGGATTTATAGTTTGATGAAAGTTTGGCTTATATAAAGGGAGTACATGCTTATTAAGTAGGGAATACATTTTTAGTACTCATTATCTTCCAGTATACTCAGATGTCACAAAATGAAAATAACATGAAAGAGACATGTTGAGAGTACAGTTGTATTCTTTAAGGAAAGGCAGGTGTGCTGACTTGGGGGATACTCCTGTTTTGAGAAGCAGGGTATTGAAGGACAGTAGCTCCGTTTTCCATGTCATTTCCTTTTTTGTCCATTTCTGAGACTGAAGGGCCCATAGAGTGACCAGCGTGGAATTTCAGAAGTTCTTTGAAAGAAATATTTCAACAGGTATCATTCTGATCCTTACTGCAAGGTTCCCGATGTGGCCAGCTTTAGCTTATCTTCTCCTAGAGGTGTTCAGTTGACTGGGGGCAAGTCACTCATCATCCAAGCCTCAGTTCTCTTGGTGTAATTTGGGACATGATAATTTGTGCTCCAAGGGGTTAAATTAACTAATAGATTTTTAAAATCTTAATATTACCCAGCAGGTAAATGCTCAGTAAACACTAATGGGAGTGCTGTTTCTGCTTAAAGCATTTGATGAACCACATGAACCTGTTGCCCTTGGACTCACATGGGGTGGACTTTTCTCGAGTGCGCATGTGGAGCCTCAATAACTGGTCCAAGTATTATCGCCAGACACTGCTCTTTGGGGCCCTGCAGGATGCCCAGATCAACTCAGTGTTCAACAAGTACTGTGTCAATTTCCAAGGCCAGGTGAGTTCTTCCTTGTTTCCCCTGGATCTGCGTGGAATGCTACTTGTGGTTCAGGTCATGAGGCAGAAGGAGATGTTAGCATGTAGTCAACAAGGGGCTGGCTCGTCTCCTGATGCTTTCATTGGCTCCTGGCAGGTGGCGGTCAGGAGTGTCCCGATGACCGGCTCCATCAGTCACGTTCTGGCACAGCTCCCACACGTCTTCCAGAAGATGGAGGCCGAAAGCCTGGCTTCGGTGATTGATGCCAGGTAACCCACCGCTCCTGTCAGGCCCCACATCGAGAGATTTGACTTCGGCATGTAAACAGAAATGGATTCCTTGTTGCTTTTATTGATAACCGTCCTCTAGATTCACTTAATCCAATCTCAGAGGAGGACAGTGAAGCCCAGAGGGAAGTGGTGATGCGGCTTAGGTGTCACAGGTAGTTAGTGGCACAGTTACTTTAAATCAAGGCTGTTCCCCCCTTGACTGTGGCATGTTTGAGTCATGTTACACTGCCTTGTGTCACAAAGTGTCCTGTGTCAGCCAATTAATTTTTCTACCTCCGTATATTTTCCCCTTTTTCCTCATTGTTTAATTAGGGGATCCCATGATAGTGTGATGGTGCTTAGCAGACGGTAGATGTTCAGTGATTATTTGTTAACAGCCGCGTGAATGCTGTGGTGTGTACTTCCTAGAACAAGTCTCTGGGATAAAATGGCGTTATATCTGTTTTTACAGTGAATAGTGTTTTTTAATGTGCTTACCACGTTTTTAATGTGCTTGTTTTTTAATGTGCTTATCAAGTTTTATCCTTCCATCATCTCTGAGAGGAAGCAAGTCATAGTGGCCTCTGTGGGAGTCTCTTAATCTTTAGAGTGTGACTCACCCAGGGTCCGTAAGTCAGTGGACACTGTGGGCTCCCCTGAATACTATTAACTTTACCTTTTGCCCTTCCAAATTAGATTCAACTTTTTCGTGAACAAGATTCTGCCTCAGTATCGTGATGCAGTCATGTCCCACACACTCATCTATGTCCCTTCCTACTTTGACTTCGTGCGTCTTCGAAATTACTTCAAGAAGGAGGAACTGAACTTCACCCACATCTGCGAGTACACCAAGAAATCTGGTGTCTCCAGAGCCAGGCACTTCTTCCTTCAAGGCGAGAAGCAGTTCCTGCTCCTCACAGAGCGCTTCCATTTCTACAAAAGGTAAGGGGATGCCGGGTCTTGAGCTGTGCAGACCGTGTGTGCTTCGGAGCACACAGTAGCCTTTGTGGAATTCTCGGGTCATCCCTCCCTCTCTACCACTCTTTCAGAGAAGCCAAAGAGTTTTGGTCTGGAAAGACTCTTCTTGGTTGGTTGGTTGTTTGGTTGGTTTTCTCCCAAAATGAGCCTTGTCGGAAAAGGTTGCAGAAACAAGACCATAATCCATGTTGGAATGTGGCTCTGGTCAGACACCTCAAGAAAGACATTACAGAGTTGAACAACTGCAAGTACAGGAAGAGGCGAGAGCTGGCACTGAGCACATTGAGTGCAAGGCCGTGTGGTGGGGCGATGGAGGCCGAGCACATGTTGGTGTTCAGAAAGTTGCAGTGTTCACGGGAACGTGTGCACAAAGTGACTGCCTCACCAGGGGGAGCCAGGGCTGTGGGCCTCTAGGTGTTGGTAGGAGGCAAGAGGAGGACTCGGAGTGGAATATTTATAAGTTGTGGTATTTGTGGAGATTCTCTACCAGTGTTTGTGATTTGGAGAAACTTAATTGATGAGCCTTTTGTTTTTAAAATTCTGATTAGAGAGTGAATTATAGTGAGCCACCTTTTACCATCCAGGAGAGTTGCAGCCCTCATTGGCCCCAGAGCTCACATACTTACTTGGTGGTTTTGCTAAGTCTCTGCCGACCAATGACAAGCATTTTAAGCCCTTATCTATAGAGAGATGGAAATCACATTCTGGGGAGTGGCCCTGTGCTATATTGGGTAAAGCCGCTGCCTGCACTGCTGGCATCCCAAATGGGCATTGGTTTGAGTCCTGGCTGCTCCACTTCCAATCCAGCTCTCTGCTATGGCCTGGAAAAGCAGTGGAGGATGGCCCAGAAGAAGCGCCTGGCTCCTGGCTTCAGATCAGCCCAGCTCCAGCTGTTATAGCTATTTGGGGAGTGAACCAGTGGATGGAAGATCTCTTTATTTCTCTCTGTTTCTCCCTCTTTCTAACTCTGTCAATTAAATAAAATAAATCTTAAAAAAAATCACATCCTATTACATCTTCTTCTGATTTCACAGTAATGTCACAGAGAAGTCCATGTGCTGACTTTCCTGTTTGACCCGCAGTCGTGCATACCAGTGTGTGGGATTCTCTGAGAATCCCAAACGCCTTAGCCAGAAATCCTCCAGGCTCTGGAGCACTTTAGGCGATGGCAATCCCCAGACATGTGCTCATTACCCGGATGGTAAAGGAGGAGTTGCAGCAGCCTGCCTGGGCGCTGCGCGATAGAATGCTCGTTAAGCATTCTATGACCAGTTCCTCCATGCGTGGGAACTGAGACTTTACTAAATTTGCATTTCCCCATCTCTATTCTTGGCTACCCAGACAAAGCTGTTTGGTCAAAGACTGTTAATGAATGCCTGCTCGTTAGCCTCATGATTTGTTTTGTTCTAGTAAGGAGTTGTTTCAGTTCAGGTTGGAGAGTATTTGGGGGGAATTGTACTCACCAAGGCTTAAAAGCCCTTGGCTTTCTATTGTCCTGACAAATGAAAGCAAGCCCTTTTAACTGAAGTGGATGGATTGGAAAGCTTCCCAACACGCTTGTCTTTAGCAAGTGTGAGTTAAGTTGGACTGAGGGCTGCTCTCAGTTATCTCAGCAGCTTTGCAAGGAGAGGGTATGGTTGTCAAAGGAGTCCTTTATAGACAGGATTTATAGGATTTATTTCCCGAACTGTCTCGCCCCCAAATTCACCGTGGAAACCAATCTCAGCATGTTCTGTGTGCTTTGTGCCCTGGACTGGGTGTATGGGTGTTTTCTGTGCTGACGATGGATGAAGACACAGTAATGTGCTCAGAGTTCAGGTAGCAGCTGATTACCTCGAGGTTTCCAACTGTAGAGTTATTTGCTTGAGTGATATCCAAGGGGATCATGGGTGTTTTGGTAGGCAGTACCTCAGTGATTTAGTTTTTTATTTAGACTTAGGAAAAGTGCATGTATTTTAAACTGTAGTATGCAGCTCTGAAGTTATGCTTTGGTATTCTCTGTGACAGTTGGCAATGGTTAGGAAGACAGAATTTAGTTTTGAGCTAGCAAACATTTTTCAGCCTGAAGATTTGTTTTCTTTGTGGGAGAGGAAACCAGTAGAACCTTAGGATTGGATGCTGCCTTTGGTCATGATTGTGCTCCCAGGCATGGTTCTCAGCTCTTGCCCTGTGCATTTTCAGTGGGTTACCTCAGCAGGGAGGATTCTCAGCCAGTCTGGAGGTGACAGTTAATGGGGTTTTGAAGGCGATCTGGGTATCTCTGAGTACTCCATGCCCCTTTGTGAGAACCCCAGTTCTTTTTTAAAGGTTTATTTATTTGTTTGAAAGTCAGAGTTACAGAGAGGCAGAGGCAGAGAGAGAGAGAGAGGTCTTCCATCCACTGGTTCACTCCCCAACTGGCTGCAGTGGCTGGAGCCGCGCCTATCCGGAGCCAGGAGCCAGGAGCTTATTCCAGGTCTCCCACGCGGGTGCAGGGGCCCAAGGACTTGGACCATCTTCTACTGCTTTCCCAGGCCATAGCAGAGAGCTGGATCGGAAGAGGAGCAGCTGGGACTCGAACCGGCACTCATATGGGATGCTGGCGCTTCAGGCCAGGGCTTTAACCTGCTGTGCCACAGCACCGGCCTGAGAACCCCAGTTCTAAACTTAGTAGAGTTAGCTGTCAGGGACCAAACAGAGGAGCCAGCCTTTCAATTCATGTGATTGTTTTGTTTAACAGTTGGTAAGTAAAATAGATTCGGAATGTCCTTGATTTTAGATCATCAGGGACTTCTGTTTTTGTAGGGACCACGGAAGATGCAGACTTACGTGAGGGAAGATGAGGGAGGGAAAGGGGAGCTCCAGATAGAGTCAGCCTGCTCTCTGCTCCTCTGCAGAGGCCCTGGATTCCTCGTCTCCATCGTGGCTAGTAAGGCTGGGAGCCGTTTTCTTAGAGAGAGAGAGAGACTGAGAGAGAGATCTTCCATTTGCTGGTTCACTCCCAGATGGGAGAGACCAAGAGAGAGAGATCTTCCATCTGCTGGTTCACCCCCAGATGGGAGGGACCAAGAGAGAGAGATCTTCCATCTGCTGGTTCACCCCCAGATGGCTGCAGCAGCTGGGCCTGGGCCTGGGCCTGGGTCAGGGTCAGGGTCAGGGTCAGGGTCAGGGTCAGGCCCAAGCCAGTAGCCAGGAGCTTCGTCTGGGTCTCCCACATGGGTGGCGTGGCCCAAACAGTTGGGCCATTTTCTGCCGCTTTCCCCAGGCTATAAGCAGGGAGCTGGATAGGAAGTGTAATAGCCAGGACACAAATTGGCACCTATGTGAGATGCTGGCTTTGCAGGTGGCGGCTTTACCTGGCCCCTTATTTATTTATTTATTTTTTTTACTGTTTATTGGGTTTTGCTGTTTTGTTTTTTCCTGATTATACAGCATTATACAATTATTGTAAAAAACTTGGAAAATCAAGAATTAAAAAAATAAAATGCAGTCTCACCTATTATCTCACTGCTCATATACATACTCTTTTAGGTGTATTTTTTTTCCTTTCTTTTTTGTATAACTATTTGCCCTCAAATATGTACACCCACACACATTTACAGGTGTTTTTTAAAAAATACCAAAATTTGGATCACTGTATACATGTTGGTATTTTTTTCCCCTTATCAAATTTTTTTTTTTTTTTAAGATTTATTTATTTTACTTGAAAGTCAAGAGTTACACAGAGAGAGAAGGAGAGGCAATTGGCCACAACAGCCAGAGCTGCGCCGATCCAAAGCCAGGAGCCAGGAGCTTCTTCCAGGTCTCTCATGCAGGTGCAGAGGCCCAAGAACTTGGGCCGTCTTCCACTGCTTTCCCAGGCCATAGCCGAGAGCTGGATTGGAAGTGGAGCAGCCGGGACTCGAACTGGCGTCCATATGGGATGATGGCACTGTAGGCAGCGGCTTTACCCTCTATGCCAAAGCGCCAGCCCCCTTATCAATGTTTCATGTGGTCTTCGAAAAAAAAAAAAAAAAAAACTTCAAAAGCGTTAACATTCTGATTTCTATATTTGCGTATCAGGGATGTTTGTTTAAGTTATATATATATGTATATATATATGTATGTATATATATATATATATAGCTGTGTCACATTCTCCTTCCTCTCAGTTCTTCATTTGGAAAGATTCACTTCAAAAGCAAACCTTACAGCTCTAACAGTAAACATCTCAGAACTCCCAGCTGTCAGCATTTTACCACACTTGCACACACCTGGGTTCTCTTTCTGTTTTTTTTTTCCCTTCCTGAACCATTTGAAAGTGAGATGGAGGAGGCTTCCTAACACTTTACCCCTAAATATTCCAGCATGTTCTTTTTTGCAGCCACAACATCAGTTTCTTACCACTTCATGTTTCTGTGGTATCATCTCAGAATTGTCTGTGTTCACATTTTCTTGGTTGTCCACAAAAGGACCATGATAGCTTTTTTTTTTTTCCTAATCCAGGATTCAGTTAAAGATCCGATACTGCATTTGGTTCACTTATTTTGTTAGTCTAGCTTGGTTCTCAGCCAGAGGAATTTTGTCCCCCAAGAAACATTTAGCAATTTTGGTTGTCAGAGTGGAGGATCATTCTCATGGTTCTAGAGTTCAAGGCCAGGATGCTGCCAGGGACCCTGTAGTGCACATGACAGGCCCACAGCAGACAGCAGTCAGCTCAGAGCATCGGAGGAGTGAGAATGAGAAGTTCTGATCTACAGTAACTTTCTTGCCTGCTTTTTTTTTTTTTTTAAGATTTTATTTATTTATTTTCAAGGTAGAGTTACAGACAGAGAGGTCTTCCATCCGATGGTTCACTCCCCAGATGGCTGCAACAGCTGGAGCTGAGCCAATCCAAAGCCAGGAGCCAGGAGCTTCCTCTGGGTCTCCCATGCAGGTGCAGGGGACCGAGGACTTGGGCCATCTTCCACTGTTTTCCGAGGCCATAGCAGAGAGCTGGATTGGAAGAGGAACGGCTGGGACTAGAACCGGAACTCATATGGGATGCTGGCTTCGCAGGCTAAGGCTTAGCCCACTATGCCATAGCATTGGCCCCTTGCTTATTTTTCTTGACACTGACACTGGCATTATTTGAAGAGTGCAGTTCAGTTTTCTGTAGGATGCCCCGCGGTCTGGGCTTACCTGTTTGTTTCCTTATTATTTCCTAGTGCTTCCCAGACTTTGATGTAGAGTCCTCTTGAGGAGCTTATAAAATACAAATACCAAGTTGCATCCCAGTGCCAACTAAGTCACAGTTTTTGGGGAAGGGAATCAAACCTATGTATTGAAAAAGGAACAGGGACAGACATTTGGCACAGTGGTTAAGATGCCATTCGGGGCACCTGCATCCCATATGGGAGTGTAGTTGCAGTCCTAGCTCCTCCACTTCTGCTCTGGCTTCCTGCTAACATGTACCCTGGGAGGCAGCAGCTGTCCCTGCCGCCCATGTGAGAGACTTGAAATGAGTCGGGTTCCTGGCTTCTGCCTGCCATAGCCCTTGCTGTTGTGGACATTTAGAGAGTAAACCAGCAGGTGGAAAGTATCTCACTCTCTGAATCTCTACCCCCCTTCAAATAAAAATGATGAAAGAAAATTTCTTTAAAATTTGAACAATAGCCAGGTGATTTCCGCGTGCATCAGGGTGGGGACCCCTCATTTAGCGTGAACCCTTTTCAGTGAGAATTCTCCGTAGCTGATATCGTTTACTAGTCATCCGCTCGCCTCAAGAGGCACGTGACATCCTTCAGCTATGGCTGGCAGTGCTGAATCACCAGAATCACTTGGTCAGTGTGGATGTACTAGCTCTTTCCATGTGATGTACTGGATGTACTAGATCTCTCTCTGTAATGCCGCCTGTGAGGTGTGTATCACATCCTTTCTAATGGCCACATGGCAATACCTTGGCTGTACAAGTTACTCAGCTTCCTTTCATGGGAGTGTAGTTGTTTCCATTCTCAGCTGTAACCATCAGTCTCTGTGTCTGTGGTTTACACATTCATGAATTCAGCCTCCTGAGGTTCACAGATATTTAGGGAGAAATTGCATTTGTGCTGAACATGTAGATTTTTTTTTCTTGTCATTATTCCCTAAACAATACTATATAGCAATTATTTGTACAGGCTTTTCATTGTTTGAGTATTATAAATAATCTAGAGGTGATGCAGAGTTTGTAGGTTCTGTGCAGATACTACACCATTTCATCTAAGGGACTTGAGTGTCTGCAGATTTTGATATGCACAGTGTTCCTGAGACCTGTACCCTGCAGACACTTAGGAATGGCTATGTCGCATAATACCAAGGACATCAGTATACGTGTATTTGATGACATGCCTACCTAGTTATTTTCTTAGGTAGATTTTGAGAAGAACACTTGTGAACATAAGAGCTGGACACAATTAAAATTTTGGTTCACACTGCCACTGATATATTTCTTCCCATCTTGTTATTTTCTGCTCCCTTCAGGAGTTCACACACAAAATGATTTGTACTCCATCAATCTATGTCTGCAGAACCCCCCAGACTAAAATTATTGAAAGTGACTTGATAATCACTGTCATTGTTCTCATGTCCTTTTCCTGGTTTTTGGTGTTTGGGTCACTTTTGATTGAATGTCGAAGATGAGGTAAATAATTCTTTCAATCTAGGCATACCTCCTCTTCTGTCGGCCACTATGCAAGTGTTGTCAGTCTAGCAAGATCTGGTGGCTGCTGTTGTTACTTTCTATGAGCCCCAGACCTCACAGTCCTCCAGAGGCGGTGGGCTCTGGAGTGTTGATGGGTTTTGCTCCATGACCTGACCTCTCAGCTGTCAGCAAGCCCTGTGTACCTGTGCCAGGGCAATGCCTTGCCATTCTGTTGCCCCTCCCCCAGCAGCAGGCTGCCTTTGCTTTTTACTCCTTGCAAAGCATGAGGCAGGGGTGGGCCGGGGGCTCGCCTTTTGTTTTGGCTCAGATTTAGGAAGGTTGTATTCATTCAGGGATTTGGAGATGGAGCCTTGGCTGGGCTCACAGCAGTCACATTCTATGTTGTAGGTGTGACGGGTTTTGGGGGGAAGGAATACCCAGCTTCTTCCCCAATGGGGCAGGCTCTGCTTGTGACAGTCCAGGAACTTAGGTGGAGGAGGTCTCTTGCCCCTTCTCAGAGGTAGATGCTGTTGCTTTAATGGGTGCCATCTTGAGACTGATGGGAGTGTGTGGGGTTTAGTCCCCTCTGTCCTCACCATTGCCCACTGGGGAACAGAAGACTTTGGCTTCTGCCTACCTCCTGCAACCAGTTTATCTTTGGCTGGGATGGGCAAGTTGCCTTTCTCCTCTGCTTCAGGCTTTTGTCGTAGGTTTCAAGATAAGGGACTAGGAGGGGTATGGGCATCCATGTCTGCTGCACCAGTGGGGTCTCTCTTGGATCCTTAGCCTTGCCCCCAGTCTTTGGCCAGAACTTCCGGGAGGCCCCAGAAAGAGCCCAGGAGTGGAAGTGAACTCTTAAGAGCTGCCAGGGATTCTGAGCAGTCCCACAAGTCCCTGCTTGCTACTGTGGTTTGAGTGTGCCCGCAGAAGTTCAGGCATCAGAGCCATACCTCCTTGCAGTAGTGGCGACAGTGAGAGTTTTGAGAAGTGATTCAGATATTGAGAGATGGATACGTTGTCATGGGCATGGCTTTGCTGTAAAAGCCAGCTCCCTGCATTGTGCTTACTGTGTCTGGCTGTGTGATGTCCTCTGCCATGTACAGTGCAGCAAGAAAGTTCTCCCCACATCTGCCATGTGCTTGGACTTCCCAGCTTCCAATACTGTGAGCTAAACAAACCTGCGTTCTGTATAAGTGACCCAGTGTGGAGTGTTAGTTACAGCAACAAAAACCAGACTGAGACACTTGCCCTTTAAGAAGTTGTTGAAAGCATAGTGTTTTCTTCCCACTGCCTTTTCTGGCAGCCACTGCCTCCTGGGCTCTGCCAAAGATGCAGTAGTTTGCATGTCCTGTCTGTCTCCAGAAGGGCTCTCATGCTGCTGAATTCCCTCTGTGGCTGGCTGGAGCTGGCTCGTGCTGGTTCAGAGTGCTTGGGGCTCTCTTTCCCCAGCCCCCGCATACAGCAGCATAGCGTTGGCAGCTTGAAACTGGCCCTGGAGGGCGTGGGCACGACAGAAAGGCACGTGCTCCCCCGACACCCGCCTGAGAGCCGCTTGTCAACAGCATGCAGGCCGCCTCCACTGCTTCGGCCCCCCTACCTAGCTTAGGACAGTGGCTGTCTGGGATCCAATGAAGAAATGCTTCTGTGATGACCTGGCTTGTTCTTGCTGGTGTGTGAGCAGGGTTCCTGTGAGCGTTCTGCATCCTGAGCAGAAGTGGAACTGAGTATTTGTGTTCATTGTGGTGACCTGTGGTGTCAAACAGCGCATTCAGGTCTGTTAGCCAGGCGAGCTCCCTCTTTACAGAAAGGTGAGGCTGAAGGTGAAACACACAATGGATCAGCTACGTTAGGAAGAGGAAGGACTCCAGAGACATCAGGAGGAGCTGGGAGATAAAAAGACAAGGAAGCCATGTTCTCTGTGAATACAGTACAGTCCCCAAGGGAGTCTGACATCCTCTGTGTTAAGAGAGCCTAAGAGGAAAACTCAGAACCTTGGCAATCTTCTGTTCTCAGTCCCAGAGGGAACGTTTGGCCTTGACTCGAACCATACGGTGAGTCTCTCGGGTCCGCACCCCCGCTGGCCTGCAGCTCCATGCGGCCGCCGGGAGAAGTGGGAGTGCAGACGCTGTGGAAACTAATTGCCTTCTCGGGATGCCTAATGGGCCCTCAGGCAGGCTCTTGTAAATGGATGAACTTGGGACATCTGCTGGGGAGTTAACACGTCTGCAGCATGACAAAGACTAATGGGAGTGCATTTACAATTGGCGCAGTTACTTCACGGTGCGGATCTGACCTCGGCTCGGCTCAGCTTGCCTGACACAGGGAGGACAATAGTAAAGTAAGAGCCTGCCTCGGTTTTCTGTGGCAGATGTCTGACCTTGCCCTACTGTTCTTCCTGCCTTACCTCAGCCTACCCAGAGTGGGTTCAAGGACTACAGATTTATCATTATCTCTAGCAAACATTAGGCATTCAAATATGTTGTCACAAAAATAAGCCTTGCAGCTCCAGTTAGAATGACCTCTGTGTGTTACTGTGTCATTGTTCTCCTCCTCAGCAAGAAGCATCCAGAGTGATCTGTGTCCCTTCACAGCTCTGAGGTAGCTTTTCCATCAGCTGTGTCTCAAGTGTACTTAGCCCTCCCTCTCTCCCACTGTGACAGGTATACAATAAAAGGCATCAGGAATCTGATTTTCTATGAACTGCCGACATATCCGCACTTCTACAGTGAGGTCTGTAATATGCTGAGAGCCACCAACAGAGGAGAAGAAGCCACATGGACCTGCACTGTCCTCTACTCCAAGTACGATGCCCAGAGGTTGGCTGCCGTGGTGGGTGTGGAGCGAGCAGCACAGATGCTACAGTCCAAGAAGAACGTCCACCTGTTTATCACCGGAGAAAAATGAGATTGGACAGGACAAGGCACGTGACATGATAGTAACGCCTGTTGTGCTGTGCCAGTTGGCCACTTAGCAGTGTAAAAAGGAGAGGGACTGACGCGAGGAACAGGAACCAGGCAACCTCGGTGTCATTTGATCTTCCTTTTCAGGTCAAGTGTCCAGAAAAGTTCAGTGTAAACCAGATTTTGGTAGCTCACATCTCAGAATTCACAGGAGTCTAGAAGGACACCGAGGGGTCAAGTGGAGGGAAATCTCTGCTTGTGGACCTTGTTTTAAGCTGTAAATCCTTTTACTATGATTTTATTTTGAGTTTATTGTACTTGGTAAATTCTTTCAGATTGTGTCTATGATTCTTTCTTTTTTTCTTTCTTTCTTTTTTTTTTTTTGACAAGCAGAGTTAGACAGTGAGAGAGAGAGACAGAGAGAAAGGTCTTTCTTCCACTGGTTCACCCCCCAAATAGCTGCTATAGCCTGGTCTCCCATGCAGGTGCAGGGCCCAAACACTTGGGTCATCCTCCACTGCCTTCCCGGGCCATAGCAGAGAGCTGGACAGAATCCAGTGCCCCAATCCGGACTAGAACCCGGGGTGCCGGCACTGCAGGCGGAGGATTAGCCTAGTGAGCCGCAGCGCCGGCCAATACTTTCTTAAAGTAACATGTGTAGTCTGTGTGAACTGGTTATAATAAAATAGAATACTTCCGCCACTGCGTGTCATCTTGATTTTGGATGGCACAAGTTTTGTGAAAGTGACTTTTCCCCAGCCAAACTTGTTTTAAACTTTAAATGCTGGGGCCGGCGCTGTGGCAAAGTAAGCTAAGACTCCACCTGAGGTGCCGGCTTCCCACATGAGCACCAGTTCATGTCCTGGCTGCTCCTCTTCCTATCCAGCTCTCTGTTAATGGAGATTGGCCCAGGTGCTTGGGCCTCTGCACCCATGTGGGAGACCCAGAGGAATCTCCTGGCTTCTGGCATTGGATAGGCCCAGCTCTGCCATTGCAGCTGTTTGGGGAGAGAACCAACGAATGAAAGACCTTTCTGTCTCCCTCTCTGTCTGTAACTCTGCTAACTCTACCTTTCAAATAAATAAATAAATCTTAAAAAAAAAAAAAAAACAAAAAAACAAACTTGAAATGCTCTACTTTAATTCAACCTAGAAAAGTGCATTCATTCACTGATCTTGAATTCGTCATTGAAATCGTGTTAATATAAAACAATGTTCATTTCTGCTGTTTCAAGAAATAATTTTGTGGAAGCTTGGTGTTAAATATCTGTTTTCAGCATCAGTGTCTTTGTCGTGACTATAGTCATGGAAAGGAAATTGCATTTTCTTAGCATTCTTTTTTTTTTTTTTAAAGATTTATTTATTTGAAAGCCAGAGTTACACAGAGAGAGGAGATGCAGAGAGAGAGAGGGGTCTTCCATCTGATGGTTCACTCCCCAATTGGCCGCAATGGCCAGAGCTGCACCCATCTGAAGCCAGGAGCCAGGAGCCAGGAGCTTCTTCAGGGTCTCCCACGCGGGTGCAGGGGCCCAAGGACTTGGGCCATCTTCCACTGCTTTCCCAGGCCACAGCAGAGAGCAACTGGGATTCTAACCGGCACCCATATGGGATGCTGTTGCTTCAGGCCAGGGCGTTAACCCGCTGTGCCGGCCCCTTTTCTTAGCATTCTTAAGAAAAGTTACAAGCACAGAACCTGAACCATTTGAGAGAAAGCTGCCAGCTCAATGTATCTGTCACATCCATATGCTTCAGTCAGTGTTTCCTATAAACAGGGACATTGATCTGTGTAACCACAAAGTGAAGATCAAAATAGGGAAATGACTTTTCATACACATTACCACCCAGTCCTTGGGCCCCATTCAGATTTTGCCAGATGTCCCGGTACTGTCCTTTATAGCAAATGACCTGTTGCTTTCAGTTACTCCATCTGTTTTCATGTCCTTCATTCTCAGACAGTACTTCAGCTGTTTGCTCAGCCTTCTTGGCCTTGATACCTTTGAGGATTACAGGCCGTCTATTTATGGTTTTTTTCATTCCTTCCTTCTGCTTTTCCTTTCCTTTCCTTCCTCTTCCCCTTGCCTTTTCCTTCCTTTTCCCTTTCCTTTCCTTACCTTTACCCTTACCCTTCTTCTTATTTATTTGTCTGAAAGGTAGAGTGACCCAGAGAGAAAGATCTTCCATCTGCTGGTTCACTCCCTAAATGGCCACAACAGCTGGAGGCTGGGCCAGGCTGAAGCCATTAGCCAGGAACTACATCTGGATCTCCCATCTGGGTTGCAGGGACTCGAGTATTTCAGCCATCATCTCCCTATACATTAGTAGGGAACTAGAATAGGAAGCAGAATACCCAGAACTTCAACCAGTGCTCTGATGTGGGATCAGGCCTCCCAGGTGGTGGCTTGACCTGCAGTGCCACAACAGCTGCCCCTTGGCGTTACCTTTTAATTCCATTTCTCCATGAGCTTTCTGAAGGTGTCTCATGTAAGCTGTATCCATGCTACAGAGAACTTTTTTAAAAAATATTTATTTATTTATTTATTTGAAAGAGTTATACAGAGGAGAGACAGAGAGGTCTTCCATCCACTGGTTCACTCCCCAGATGGCTGCAATGGCCCGAGCTGCACCAATCCAAAGCCAGAAGCCAGGAGCTGCTTCTGGGTCTCCCACGTGGATGCAGGTGTCCAAGGACTTGGGCCATCTTCCACTGTTTTCCCAGGCCACAGCAGAGAGCTGGATCGGAAGTGGAGCAGCCAGGACTTGAACTGCTGCCCATATGGGATGCCAGCACTGCAGGTGGTAGCATTACCTATTACACCACACGCCAACACGGCCCCATAAAGAACTTTTTGTATCTCTAAATGTGCCCTTTGATGGTAGGCATATTTGTGCTGCTGTTTACTGTGGAATCTGTATATTATGAGAGAAGAAATGAGTTTATTTTTCTAGAAATGGGAACAGAGGGGCATCCCTGTGAATTGTAGCTCATCAATAAGCTTTCGATATCACCATTCACAGGACTCCCAAATCTCCAGCTTCTTTGACTCCTCACTTTGTGTGAACCTGGGATTCAAGTCAATGTAACCTCAGAAATATGTATTCTATTAAACATTCCTTGTGATTTTTATGCTGGCCTAGAGCCAGACCCAGCCAACTGCTTCTTGCGTGCAGAGAATACTGAGGATTTGGTGGGAGCAAGAGGTATTGCTTGGTTCCTGGCTCAACACGTGGGAAAAAGGTAGAGCCACTGCGGGTGGCTCTGCCTCCTGAGTGTATTGCAAGGGGTTGGATGTTGAATGGTTTTACTGAAAGGTGTCTTCACATCTAGTGTCTCACATAATGGAGAGGAGAGGAGAGGCTGCTGGACTATGGCTGACAGTGCATGAACTGAGAGTGCACACTACCCTGATATTTCTTAGGAAAGCCTTTTGGTTAAAGGAAGTGCCTGGATAGTGACCGTAGAAAGTACACAGAGGGCGCTGCTCATCCTGGGAAGAAGCAGAATTACAAACTCTTCTTTTCCAAGAGTAGTAACAACAAACTTAGCACTTTGCTTTTGGAGGGAGAAGCTCTGACTCATGACTGTGTCTCACACCTGGCTGCACCATGTGCGGTATTCAGAAACAAGAGCAGACTGAGCTGGGAACCAGCGGCAGCCGCACAGCCCTCTGCTACCTTCTGGAGGCCGAAGATTGCAGATGGCCCAGCAGGGGTGGAGAGTGTGTTCCACCACTCCCCCCACCCCACAGGTGCAAAGGGGGCTTGTGAAGGCTCTCAGCCCTGATTGTGCCCTCCAGGGGCAGGGAACCAGGCTGTGGGGGCAGAGAGGAAGAGGCGGATGGGGCCAACCCCCGCTGGCTGCCTCTGCCCAGCCCTCCCAAGGCCGGGTGCACAGACCTCAAGGCCAGCCAAGTACAGATTTAATGAAGTCTAGGGTCAAGATGACCGAAAGCTGGGGTTGGGGGGCATGCACTGGAGGTGCTTTATGATTATCTGAAAGACCTCATTGTGCAGCCTGCAGGTGGCTGCGAGGAGCCAGGAGCTTGCCGAAGAGGCAGGCACTGCTCCTTTTGGGCCTGTCCTGCTGGGGGCGGGGCCTTTACAGCTAGCTTCCCTTGCTCTTTCCTGTACTCTCTCCAAGGGGTATAGCAGTTATCTCCATTACCACATTTCCATTCCAGAGTTCTCATTTAGAAAAAAGAAAAAATCATCTTGTTTTTGAAAGCGTTATGGGAAGCCTGCCTATGTGGAATCCTAAAAGGATTTCAGGTAGCTTCTAGAGAGTCAGTGAATCAAAATTGCTGTGTTATTTGGGAGGTGGGCCTGGCCGTTCCCGCCCATGTGGGTGCCACCATGTTCAGCTGACAGGAGGACGTGTGTTTTCTAAACACTTGCTTTTCTTCCTCCTATTGCGAAAGCTGCATGCAGGTGCCTTCCCCCCCACCTCCCAACCACCCCCCTAAACAGACAAATTTGTGTTGCTTCTGTTTCCCTGCCCATCTCGGGAAGGGGTTGCTTCTGTTCACAGCGCACGCACCCCAGCCAGAATCCTGGGAGGAGACAGAACAAAGGGGCTGCCACGGGGCTTGTTTACGCAGCACAGAGAAATCTCAGCCTGCCTGTGTGGGCAGCTCAACCCAGGTGTGCCCTTGCCGTGAGGAGAAGCCCCTCGACTTGCTTGTCATCCTCATGGGCCCTCACAGGTGAGGGCTGGCACGTTCCTGGCCGAGCTGTCCCAGTCTTCAGTCCTGGGGGCTCTGCAGCTGGCTGGGACCAGGTGGGGACCGTGGTTCAGGCTGGCAGAGCGGGAGGGAAGGCAGTCTGCCGCTTGAATGATCTGGAAGCCGTGCTGAGTTCCTGCCCATCTGTTCTCCCAGCTGAGCCAAGGCCAAAGCTGTCTACCTTTTGCCAACCCAGGGAGTGACAGGGAGCAGCATCACACAGGCATCCGCCCCGGTGTCCTGCAGCCGTGGTCCTCGCTGGCCTCAACAGCCCCTCACCTGCCAGTGTGACTCCCCGGGGAGAGGCAGCCCTGGGGTCCCAGCCGCTTTTTGTTCACAGATGTTCTTGAGTTCCCTGTCTTTGGGGCCTCTTAACTTTTCAAAGCCAGCACTGAGCTGGTTGTTGGGAGCACCGTTGTCACTGACACAGTGGCTCGTGTCCTCACAGCCACTTCACGTTTTTCTGACCTTTACAGAGTAGGGAATAAGCCCTGCTTTCCTCCAGTGAGGTACAGGTGGAAGATGCTGCAGTGGTTGTACTCTCACCTAACTTTCTGTGCCAACCTTGGACTTCAAGAGCCTGACTACCTCTTGTTCTTCCCCGGTCCCCTGCCTGGAACAAGCGAGTGAGGGCTGCAGTTCCCCCAGGGTGGCAGCTATGCATGAAGATGCCTGGCACAGAAACAGAGCACCCTGGCTCTGGAGCAGCTCTTCCCACCTGGCGGGCCTCCCTTTGCATACCTGTAATGTGCGCACACAAACCCCTAATTGTTGAAGCCACTGGGGCCGGCCCCTATTAGCAAGTCCTAGCTGATACTGAAGACAGAAATGGCATCCCAGACTCCTGAAGGCCGAAGACACTGCCTGCTCTTTCTTCCGTCCACTGCAAGCATCCATGGCAGGACTGGACTCTAGAGCTGAAGCTGCACGGGCCTGTTTGGTGGCAATGAGGAGTGAGCACTAATGAATCTGCTGTCACTTCTTTTAAAAAATTTTATTTACTTATTACTTGGAAGAGTTACAGAGAAAGGGAGAGAGACAGAGAGTGTCTTGGCATCTGCTGGTTTACTTTCCAAATGGCTGCAACAGCCAGGGCGTAGCCAGGCCAAAATCGGGAGCCTGGAACTCCATCTGGGTCTCCCACGTCGGTGGCAGGGGCCCAAGCACTTGGGCCATCTTCCTGTTTTACCATACTCATTATCAGGGAGCTGGATCAGAAGTGGAACAGCAGCAACTTGAACCAAGGCTCACATGGGATGCTGGAATCGCAGGCAGTGTCTTAACCCACTGTGTCACAACACTGCCCCCTGTGCTGTCACTTCTGACAGCTCCAGTCCACACCGGATCCATGAGAGTGACAAGTGGGACAAGTGTCTTAGGTTATGGAAGCAATCATAGTAGCACAAAAGTAATTGGCAAAGAAATCGACTTATCTCAGAGCTGCTGGCCATCTGCTCTTCATCTCTTCTATTAAGTTTCAAGGCAAAATCAGAACAAATCA